TCGACATCTTCAAGTATCTTGCAATACGTTTTGCGATCTTCCAGTCCTTTGTCGTTGGCTTGTGTGTCTGCCTAGTTACCTTGTGAACAGCAAAGCAGATATCAGGACGCGTGCACCTTGCTATCCACAACAGGCTCCCAACCAGCGACTGGAACGACTTCACACTTGGTTCGCCCTTTGCACCAGGTATTCTACAGTGTCCTCGTCTTCTGCATTGCACTCGTCCCCGATTGGGGTCCTCACCCCATTAGCTGAATCCAGTCCGAACTCCTTTAACAGTAAGTCGATCATGACTTCTTGGTCCAGAACGTATCCTGTCTCGTCGTTTAAAATTGATTCGTAAACCAAGAAACTTGTTGACGACGCCTAGGTCCTTGATGGACAGCGAGCTCATCTACATGAAAAATTCATCCACGGCCCCTTGCTCAGTCCCTGTGACCAATAGGTCGTCCACGTAGACGCCAACCACCGTGCACGTCTCACCCTTGTACTTGTAGTACAAGCACATATCCGTGGTGCATTGTTGGAAACCACCTTGACGTAGCTTTAAATCAAGTAATTTACTCCAAAGCCTTCCAGCTTGCTTGAGGCCTTACAGTGACTTCTCTTCAACAGGAGGACCAGGTCACTTGATGTTTCCACGCCATGCAACTTAAGCTCTTGGTCACTCAAAACCATGCCCTTGGGCGCCTTCATATAGATGTCAAGGTGCTCCTCCTTTTCAGCCTTGACGTAGGCATTGGGAACGTCACCATGTCGGGCAGGCACGTTCCAACGCCTGGAGAGCACCAAAATCAACTTTACCGTTGCCAAATCCATGACGGCAGCAAACGTTAGGGTATAATCGACACCAAACACTTGCTCGTTCCCACAGACCACCAGGCGAGCCTTGTACCTCTCCACGTCCCCGTTTGCATCAGTCTTGGTTTTATAGACCCACTTGTTGTGCAAGACGTGTGCACCTTTCGGTGGTAGTACAATCGTCCACACGCCGTTTGACTTCAGAGCATCCAACTCTTCAGTCATAGCCGTGGTCCATTTCTGGCGATCACCACTTCGCATGGCTTCGCCATAGTGCTTTGGATCTTGAGCGATGACTGCATTCACGACATCCTGTCGTTCAGCAGGGCCTTTACCAACAACTTTCTTAGCACGTCTGCTCGTTGACCTTGTGTCGTGTCGTTCCCTAGTCCATCCGGGCTTACGGCCACTTCGAGCTTTCGCCGCCCGTTTCTTGACACTTGAAGGTACTTGAACCTTCTGTTGATCATCGGTTGATATCTCCTCCTGATGTTCAATCCTTTCGGTGTACGAGTAGTCTTGACCGTTACGCCCATCCGACAGTGTTTCGATGTTGCGTACGTGCTGCGTTACCACGACCACCTTGTCCTTGGGGATGTACACTTTGTACCCCTTCGTCTCATTACTCTTTCCAATGATGATGGCCGCCTTCCCTCGCTCTCCAAGTGATTTGTTCCTTGCATCCACGTGCACCGTGCACGTGGAGCCGAACGCCACGATGTCGTTCAGGTTTGGCACCTTCGTGGTCAAAAATTCCATCGGAGACACCCCACCTGGATTCGACTTGGTCCTGCTTCTGTTGAGAATGTAAGTTGCATACTCAGCAGCGTCGCCACAGAAAAGCAAAGGCAGGTGTGAAGCAAACACCATGCTTCGGACCATATTCATAATTGTCCGATGCATCCGTTCAGCTTTGCCGTTACTTGCCTGATTTCTGGCTTCACTGACTTGACGCGAGACTCCATTCGTCTTAAAAAACACGTCCAAGGTCTTGTATTCGCCACCTCCGTCCGTGCGTAGTACGTGGATATTGCAATTGAACTCTCGTTCAAAGCTCATCAGAAAGTGCTTGAACTTGAGGGCAGCAACATCCTTGGATCTGGCCAAGAATACACGGCAATAATTTGACCTGTGGTCAATGAAATTGACCAGGTAACGGTTACCCAGGCGATCCCTTGGAGTCATTGGGCCCTTGAGGTCGGAGCAAATTACTCCACCGATCACATCGATGGGAGAATTTTGGCCTGAGTCTTTTCGTGACTGTGATGCTTTGGTTTGCTTGCCTTGTGCACAGGCCAAGCAATTCATGCGCCTCGTGTCAGTCAGCCTGATACCAGATGCCGGGTCTTTGGCCATCTTGATGATCGTTTCGTACCCAAGCGACGATGGAATTGCATCAAGGTACCACTCTGAACATCCGAATCGGAGTTATATTCAGGTGAATTGATCGCAGCCGTCATCTCCCTTGGTGGTAAATGTGAGGTCTTGTTGCATGGTCCTGTCACTGCAACAACTAGCACATTGTTATTGCACTCCACATCCATAACCGGTGCACCTCCAAAACCAGAGGTTAACACAAGTCTCCCTCCTCGGTACTCAAGTACACATCCCTTAGCCTCAAGCTTACCATACGAGATGATGTTTCGCTCGAGGTTCGCGGCGTACTGTACATCGAGAAGTCGGATAGAATTCACAACCCCGAGTGCAACAACTTCAATGTTGACACTCCCTTGCTTGGTAATCCGGAGCACACCTCCATCTGTTGCAGCTGTCAAGCATTCGTTTCGACAGTCGCTCGGGTTGACGAGCAGAGACAAGTCGTTGACAAGGTGTCTGCTCGACCCACTGTCGAGGATCCAGTGATTGTCTTGGAGACGATCACCATTGTCGATCGCAAATGTGAAACTTGGTCTTGGGACTTTGGACATCTGTCTCTTGGGGCACATCGACTTGATATGTCCCACCTCGCCGCATCTGTAGCACGTTCGTTGGTCATTGTCATTTGATTCTTTCAGTACCTTGTGCTTGAACTTGTCTCTTGACTCCTTTCTTGGTTCAACAGCATTGACCACGTCACGTCCGAGATGCTTCGCGTGGTTGTCAATCTCCGTTGACTGGGAGAACTGTGCCAATTCCTCGGCTTGGCGCAAGCAGTCGGTTCGATGAATGTCCAGCCTGGACATCATGGTCATTCGCATATGCGGGTCTGCATAATGGACGATGTTATCCAACACCAGGGTATCTGCCCCTCCGCAAGCATCACTGACTGCCATCAGGTACAGGAAATGGTCCGTCCAACTTATGTGAGGTGCCTTGGGAGCCGTAAACAATTTCATGCTTTGGGCAGGCGTGATTTTAGTGCTGAAGGTCTGAAGCAGCCTTTGCATAGCATGCTCCAGGGTTTGACTTTCACACCACCAAGTCTCCACTTGACGACGATAGTACGTCTGTGCCTTACCGGCCAGGTGTTGTCCTAAGACATCCACCTTGATGTCTTCCGGCCACGTGAATCCACACGCACGCTCGGCAAAACCAACTTGACGCACAAATTCCTTGCCCCATCCGAGGAAACCACTACCAAGGCCATGGTATAGTACCTTACCATCAAAAGCTTGTAGTGCAAGCTTCCGATGTTGCGCGTCTGGCATCCCCACAACCTGTTGTCTTAGGTTTGCATGCATCACGTTCGGCATACCCGCGCCGGGGTAATAGCCTGGTACCCCTGCCATAAATTGTGCAGGTTCCGGCGCTTATCCCATGTTGCGGTTTGCTTCAACATGGCCTGCTCGATGATTTGCATCATCAGCTTCGTAGTGTCGTCTGGCTCCAAAGCACGTAGCCGGCGACACGTCGTTCGGTGACCTCTTCCGGGGAGGGGTAAGTTCCAAAGCCTGGATGTTCATCTCTCCACCCGCTCCCAGAGCCGAACCAAAGACGCTTGACTCCGCAGAGTCCTTCCGGTGTCCACCGGCATGCTCCTTCTGGGAGACCTCCATCCGATTCAGCCGATCAGATAGGTCTCCGAGCATGGCAAGCACCTTGCCCAGTGCCGCATCAGGCACTGCCGACTTTTCTTCGAGGTGGTCTTCGTTAACCCGATGAGGGTCGCCGACTGCCACGTTAGGCATAGCCTGTTTGGGCTTGCCCACAACTAGTTCCGTTGGGCTCATAACCTGTTAGATTGAAGTGAAGTAGTGGTGCACTTGTGCACTTAGAGGTAGAAGTAAAAGTAAAATATATTAAGCATTAACTTTCCTCGTTCGTTAATACCTACACATGCATGCGAAACCGACTGCAACTATACCATCTATAGTTCACGTCTATCCCGCTCCGTCCCATCTGTTACGACATCGACAAGACGATGTGGTAATCTCGTCGCCTCGTCCCATATGTCGCAACATCCTGATGGTCCGACGTGGCGATATCGTCGCCTCGTCCCATCTGTCAGCACGTCAAATCTGTTTAGTCAATCAGGTACGGTTGTTACTTACCGCGTAACAGGGTATTGCCCTTGACCTTCACGGCCTATCAACAACAATAGCTTCTAACAGAAAGAACTGCTGTAATACTGGAATGGTCGACAATAGTACAGGTTTCCCATCTTTCGGCTACCGCTCCTTTACCATGACCTTGACTAAAGCTGCTTTAGTGAACGTCTGATTCGCTCGTAGAGTCGTCAGGAGAGCAAGTAGTATACCGCCGCCTTAGTATACGGAGTCGAACTGACATCTGTAAGGAGGCAACTATATAGTGGTACACGAACAAGTGGCCTGCAGCCCAAAAGATTAGCTTCATGGTAAAGGTCTTGTTCTTGTGAAATAAATTGTCTGTCAACGATTTGACGATGTCCGGACTTTGTCAGGAATGATGGCGCCCGCTGGTAAGCGAGGCATGACATCACATTGCAGAACCTGCATCTTCATATTTTTACCAATGCAAATAAATGCTCGCGTACGATTCGCAATTGCTGTACGGATTATAACATTCGTTAATTGTTGATGCACGGCCTTTGCGATAAACTCGTTCTTTATATAGAAAGCGAATCTTGGTATAGAGTCGTAAAGGCTACTTACTACACTAAAAACACGCTTTGGTGATGCACCATTACCTTCTTGGCGACATCGCCTTTCCAGCTTTGCTCCATCCCATTATTCTTTTTTCATCCTGGACAAGAGTCAATAGTAAAAAAATTCCATACCATGAAGATCGCTGGCTTCCTGTGTCGGTCGCTCTGGCCGGAATTTCTACGGTTGTAAATCAAGTAACGGCCCAGGAAGGTGGTTTTGCTGTATCGTTGAACTCATGCCAGAGTTTGAAGAAGGTCGATCCCGACGACATACGACCGTTTCCCCAGCCTCCCGCCAATACAACAGTGAAAAGGCTGCCATTAAATTCAAACCGATGCTCAACATTAGTAACGGTCGATGCGTCCCGTACCCTGCAGTGAGCAAAGATGGTAGTTATGTCGAAGGTTTTTTTGAGCATAGTAAATCCGCCAATTACTGCAAGGGAAATCAACATGGATCTCAAATTTACGGGCGTGCAACCTGGTACAACGAGATATATGTCATCGTGTACACATGGTACTTCTTAAACGAATGGGCCACTTCACGCCAAGGCTGGCAGACTTGTGCCTTGTGGGTCGACAATCCTGACAACGTATCCCCGAACATCTTGGCTGTGTCGGTGTCGTCTCCTAATCGCAGATTCACGAAACACCTTTATCCAAAACCCCCCACAGTGGATGGCACGAATGTAAAACTCAGGTATTTTCTGAATGACTGGGCCATGCCTCTCTTTGAAGTCGAAATCACTGATCTTAAAGGTGGCTTTCAGGATCTGATCATGTGGCAGCAACTTACGGAGGAGGCTCGTTGTGCTCTTAATCAAACGAGCTATGGCAACAGGCAAATGCCCATCAATGAAAACAACTTTTGGACCACCCTGGAAGAAGCGTACCCTTCTGAGTGAGGAGAAGTCTGTCGGTGTACAGGTAGTAGCTAACATCATACGAGAATACAGCATCTTATCTTGTACTCATGCTTCTGCTATGAGCCTTACTGAAATTGTTGTACAGTAGTCACATTGAAGGGTGTAGACCTTCCTTACACACGATCGCCCTGAATGTATGTATTCATGTATTTACTACAGCGCTCTCAATGCTTGCAGCGCGTGTCGCTTATAGCGTAAATTATGTCGTGATAAAGTGCGAAGTTGACAGTTGCTGGATGACAAGTTTGATACTTGCAACGGCATCAGCGCGAGAAGACAAAATCGTATAAGCCTCGAAATGTACAGACTTGCGGCGCGGATTCTCGTCGAGATACCTCGCTGTTTTTTCTATCACGACAGCATCGAGAAGAAGTGGCAGGCTGAAGCTGTCAAAACTCCAGCATGGATCATCAAACGAATCACCAAATCTACGACGATCAAGACATGCAAGGCCAAATCCAAAGAACGTACAGGTATTCGGCTCACTCGGCTACGAAGACATCGCAGATCTGGAATGCCGTAAACTCGATGGCCTACGAGGTTTCATAACATGAGGAGGCAAATGATTTTTTTTTTGAGAAGAACAGACCGTCTATTTCAAACATTAAGGATTGGTAAGATGTCTGGAGTGCTTCTACCAGGACTTCGTCATTCTTCGCCTCGCTGGCTCAATCTGCTGGCTCGAGACGTCGGGCGTCACGGGGGACACTCCGAAAAGGGCACGTGGAATCGGTTATCCAGCCCAAGGTGTAAACAGTGGCTCAATGATCGCAACAAGCGCCGGGCACCACACCGATCAGTCCCGATCGACCGCTGATGCACCTGGACGGGCCGATCAATTCACGTTCTTGGCAAGTTCACTTCGTGGGACCGAGATTCGCGCTCAGCGATCGAATCGGCGTCTTGAAGGCTGACGTAGAATAGCAGGAACTATTGGGGAAAGAGGGAATGATGACCGCGGTCGTCGATCCTCTCCCCCCGGGGGTAACAGGGTTGGTGCTCCCCTTACGGTTCGCACGCTGCGCTTGCCCTCCATAGCGCACGCAGCAGAGGGAAAACCTCCCCCCTCTTATCCTTGGCCTCCCGTTGGAGGGACTTCCCGCCCTGGTCGGAGGAGGCCGGTTGACCGGCTCTTTGAAGGTCTTCGTCTCTTGGCCGTTGTTGCTCGAAGGCGCGAATTGGGAGGTGGGGCAAACGATTTCATTCAACGTTTCATACTAGCAAGATGTCTAATAGATTCTAAGCCCCTTGATAAGCAGCGCCGTTTCCTCGTTCGAGTCTAATGGTAGTACGGGTATAGTGACGGCTATCCTGGTTGTCTGGCTATTGCGCATTGACAGATGATCAATCACCTTCAGTTTTTTTTCATTTTGACTCACCGGCACTCTTGCTTCGCTACAGCTCAAAGTTGACTCATGCTAGTTTCCCAGAATTCCTTTATGCTGCCGTCGAATGGTCCAGAGCTAGCTTGGAATCTACATAATAGGTTAAATGATATAATAAAACTTTAAACAGTGTTTGTCGTAACATGATTATCCACAACCAATCTGTACCAGATTAACGGATCATCACTTAAAACTTGCTTTCCAACCGTCGACACTGTCCTTGACACAACGCTTATATCTTGCTCTGTTATCGTCGACAGTTAATTCAAACCGATTACTCACATGCAAGAATTTTCGAACAAGATATCGGGTGAGCAGATACAGAGAAAGAGGTTCAGATAGTCTATCTTTCAAGGTGTTAACTATGTGCAAGATCTCTGGAAAGTCCTGAGCCAGGATATCAGCGCCGAATGACCCGACGGTATATCGTGGCTAGCCACCGTAGAACTCGGTGGCTCTCTAGGATCGCGCTCAAGCAGTTCAATGCAAGCATAAAGCAAGGCACCTCGTATGACTGACGCAATTTTTCGATGCTCCCTCTTTGCGATTGCTCGGAGCTGACAAAGGCACGAGGCCCAAAAACTGGCGATGCTGCTGGGAATGTGGAGTGTGACAGCCTTGAAGACGGCTGCATTCCTGTCAATCCAAATTCGTGTTTGGCATATCGTCGCGAGGACATGCCAAATTTGTATCCAGACGCGTTCGGCTTCTTGGCGTCATCCTGAAATCGGTCCGCTAGGATTTTTGTGCGGTACTCGGGTATGCTGTCAACCCGTCTACTTGCACATGCCCCTAGAAAGTTTTGGGTCACTTGGCGGGTGACGATTTGCCCGGTCCAGTGACCAATGAGATTTTTCCAAAGCGCTGCAGCGCAATCACATTCCCAAAACAGATGGGCAATGGTCTCCTTCCTGCCGCTGCAATCCGGCGTCTTTTTGCAACTATTGCGTTCGATTCTCTCGGCGTGATACAAATTTAATTGTCTTGTCGCTACCCGGTACCCTGTCCAGACTTGATATAGGGTGAGACCATTACTATGATCCCACACTTGCGTCTGTGTTTGCTGGAGCGCTGCGCGTTGCCATTCATCTGTTGTTGCCGATTGTGAAAGGCGATCAACGAGAGCCGAAAGTTGACGGGCGAGAACTTTTTTGTGAAACCGGAAGGCTTGCTTGCCTAAGGCCTTGATTCGACGTTGTGTCTGGAACAGACCAAGGGAACCGATGAAGCTGCGGGTGCGCCTCGAATACGAGACCCCCTCTTCGAATAGCGCGCCCAATCGCCTGTCGGTCAGATGGTGAAGCGTCAGTGAGCTCCGGCAGTAATCCATGGCAAAACCAATGGATTCCATCACCAGCCTGGTGCAAAGTGACGGGGCGGGTTTCGCCGTGTTCGATCTCCGTTAAGTTGCCCACGAGAATGCCTTTACCGAGTATCTTCCAGCGATATCTTTTCAATTGTGGTGGTGCCTGTCGAAGGCGCAGTGGCGGTGTCGCGTTTAATTCTGTCCCGATGGGTAAGTCCGGGGATGACAATAGGAGGGCTGTTACCCGCCGTCGAAGCTTCGCGTCCGAAAGCGGGACCCGGAGGTATAGGGACCCGCATGACGAATTCCGCTGGCCCCGTCCGCAAGATGTGAAGGTGTGCGAGGGTGCAGTCTTCAATCCTATTATACTTGGTCCTGGACAGCGTGTTGCCGCTCTGGTCCCGAATATATGGGTTCGCACTCCATGTGAAGGTGGCCCAGAACCTCTGAATTTCTTCCGTCATATCATCGTACCCCAGTAGGTGTGTTGGGAAAGGGTCAATAAACGACAACACCAATTTGTCCCCATCCCACCAGCTGGTAACTCGGTCAAGTAAAGACGTCGAGTGAGCACAGATCCTCGCGGTCAACTGGTCGTGTTGGTCTGTGGTCGGGGCGAGTCGTTCGCCCAGCTCTTGCTTCAGTTCCTGTTCTGGCGAGCGTGCTCGACTAGGCGATGCCCGTAGTTTAGCCTGAGCCGGCGTCAAGATTATATCGTCCGGCCCCTGACTGCTCCGAAAGGCCCATACCCGCCAGTAATCAAAGTGTTTATTCGGTTTCTGAGTAAGCCAAGTCACTGTATGCTTTATGCGTTGTGTTTTGACCGCTGCAGAAACATCCGCTTGCCCGATGCCTCCCGCTTGCTTTGGCGTCACAAGCAATCCAGGATTCACCTTGTGGCGACTGCTCTTCGTCGTTGTCGCGTGCGCCCACAGGAATTGCTTGTAAAGATTGTGCAGGTCCTTTTCCGCCCATCGTGGTAATGCAAAGACTATTGCAGTGAATAATAAAGAGGGAAGCACGATCGAGTTAAGAAGTAATACACGATTTTCAACGCTCGTTGCCACTCGTGTCGCTGTAAGAAGACGCCTTTGAATGCTGTGGGTCCTCTGGGCCCAGTTCTTGTTCACTAATTCCCCGGTTCCAACCTCATAGCCAAGGTACCGAGTTGTTCCGCCCGTGGGGACGACATCGATGCCCTCGTATTGCTTGAGCTTGACAGACCGATTTAGAAAGATTCGCTGACTCTTCGACGGCTGAACATGGAGGCCGGAAAGAGCGCCAAATGCTCGTACAACCTGTAAAGCGTGAGGGATTTGATCCGCTGTTTCCAGAAATAGAGTGGTGTCATCCACAAATGCCGAATAGAAATGGGTCTGACCAGACTGCCCAGGCGCTTGTAGCCCGTGAAGATTGGGGTCCTGCTGCAGTGCAAGTCCCAAGACCTCAACGACTAGCAAGAACAACAGAGGTGCTAGCGGGCACCCTTGCCGGATTCCTGACCGGACTGGAATGACAACCGTTTACGACGAAAATGGCTGTCGTGCCGGTGTGAATTCGTCGGACTAAGTCAATGAAACGCACGTCAAACCCAAAGTGGAGTAGAGTCTCGTACATTAATTCTCGGTCCACGGATATCGTAAGCCTTCCGAAAATCCAGCAGCAATATACAGCGGCTAGTTGCTGCTGGCACCTCCTCTTGCTCTTTTGCAGTCGACAGGAGAGCCATCATTATCATAACTGTTTTGATCATTTTACGCCCATGAATAAAGCCTTGTTGGGAATCACTAATAACGTGAGGTAAAATAGACTGTAATCGCGTAGCCAGTACCTTGGCAAACACCTTGTAGCTGGTTTGTAGTAACGATATCGGTCTATAATCCATCGCGTTGTCCGAGTATTCTTTTTTACGCAGCAAGATAATTAGCGCTGCTAGAAATGTGGAAGGCAAGCTTGCCCCCTTAAGGATTTGTTTGCCGACTTTGACCGGAGCTGGCACCAGCAGCGCTGATGTATCCTTGTAAAAATCGTTGTTTAAACCATCTGGGCCGGCCGCTTCGTGTCTACTGAGCCTGAGAGCACCTCTGCTTCTGTAATTGGACGTAAGAGTCGTTTGTTGTCGATATCAGTCAGGAGCTGCTCCTTCGGAATCATCGCATACGACTTAAGAGCAGCTGGTAATTCGGTCACAGCTGTGGTTCGGTGGCTGGAGCTGAGCACTGGTGCCCATTCAGATGCAAACTGATCCGCAATGGATATGTGTCTCTTAAAAGCCACCCCATGTCGCGCTCGCAAAGAAGTTACTCGCTGATTGCTCTCCCAATTGGCGACTCGCTTGTAAGACCATCTTAAACGCTCCGCCGACCGCTCTAAATGTTCGCCCATCCGAAATAGGTGTTCATCTCGCATTTCTTCCATGTTAGCAGAATTTCACTGACGACGCATAAGAAATCGCCGTCGGTTGCGTTGGTGAATTTTGCAGATGGACATCCTCCGCCTCTATTTTTCTCGTCGAGTTACCGCTCGGATACAGTTGATGCACTCAATAATATCAGCATCCCAAGACTGCACTGTTGAAGTGTGTCCAACCCCCATAGTGTCCATTTCGTTCAACAAATTGTCCAAGACGCGGTCCGGCTGGTGAGTTTGAATGGGATACGTCGGTCGATACCGCTTGGATGGTTTCCAATCTGATGGAGCGACGCGCAGATATAGCTCGATTTGTTGATGGTCAGAATATAGGGGAGGTGACGTCGAGGATACCCAAATTACTTGCCGCGCCCAGTCCTGGGGCACGTAAAACCGGTCGATCCTGGATGAGCCTATGCTCCAGTAAGACATAGGGGCCTGATTGATGTCTAGATGTTTACCCCATAAACGTTGCCACTCTAGTTGCAATTCAGAAACTTCATCCGCAGTCTCCACGTGAGTTTCCTGAATACACCATGCGAGAGGTCGTCACTTGATCGGAGTGTGGCGCCAAGCTTCCATCCAGAGTTTTCGGGTGGCTTTCGTAAAACCAAGAACATTTTGGATGAGTAGTCGACGATCCGCGGATGGAAGAGATGGGCGTCTTGATGAATTAAATTTTCTCAGTATCTCGTGACGTCCGAAGGCATCGGCAATTTCAATTGCAGATTTGGAATAGAACGTCTTCAATGGTACCCTTAGAGAGCCCTTAGTACTGAACTAACCTGAATTCCACCTTGTGGACCAGTCTGGAGCAAAAAAATCGCTCGATTGCAGCCCAATTAGCCGATTTCGACGGGCTGTAATACGCCTCCTTGTAACGCCCATTCTGAATAATAAGTTTAAAATGGGACCGGAGTTTGTCTGACGTTCGTTTAGCCGTCGGTGTGCCTTCGACGAGAGCCGCAATTTCGGTGTCGTACAACAGTGCACACACTAGATGTTGACTGAGCCGAGTTCGACCCTGTGGATTACAAAGTTTAAGAAAGTCGTCCCCCACGTAAGGGTGAGCAGATACACGAAAGAGGGAGCGACATAGTGATGTATCATCAAACATAAATGATGAGAATACAGCGATGTATCAACGACGTGCAAGTCTGAGAGAGGCGGTAAAGCAACACAAGCCGAATAGGTACAAAGATTTTGTTGCTTTGAACACACACGCAAGAGTGCTGGACAAGTTTGGCCAGTTTGTACGTGCGAGTGACGTCAGAATGCCACAAAGCACCAGAGACGCTGGACGGTCAAAATATGCAGATTTCTGGCACGAAGCTCAGCGTGAAGAAATGGATGCAATGCAACTTAAGAATGTACTGGAAGAAATTCCTACGGCTGACTTATGATCAGAAGCCAAAGCGATTAAAGTTATGTGGGTGTGGGCACTCAAAACAGATTAATACGGATATGTTATTCGCTTGAAAGCACGCTTGGTTGCCTTGGGAATTGGCAACGGCCTGGAATTGACTTTGTTGAGACTTTCTTTCCTGTAGCACGTATGTCAAGCTTTAGAATGACGCTCGCATTAGCGGCAGAACTGAATCTCAAGGTGTACGGTGGTGATATTGACACCGCGTATTTAAATGCGGCTTTAACGATACCACAGTATGTGAATCAATTGCCGGATTTCCATGCAGACGTAAGAAACACATGTATGTGGTGCGCAAGGCACTGTATGGCTTACGTCAAGCTGGACGTGAGTAGAATGATGAGTTACACATTTGGATGATGGAAAATGAGTAGCAAAGCTGCTCAATGGAACCGTGTCTATACTATCGTCAGGACACGGATGGAACGAAAATGCTGGTGCTGGTGTACGTTGACGACACTTTATGCGCAACAAACAACGAAGCAGTCAAAATTGACTTATTTGGCAAGCTGGCATTGCAGTACAGGATCAAGAACCAAGGTGAGCTCACGGAGTATATTGGTGCTGTGCAAACAAGTTAAGATGCCATGTGTGCAGAAGAGAAGGATGACATCGACAAGACGTTTGACTATCGTGGTGCGGTGGGACTGTTTATGTATTTGACATGTTCGCGGCCCGACTTGGCATATGAAGTGGGTCAGCTAAGTCGATTTGTGGCCAATCCGACCAAAATCACGCTGGTTGTGTGAAACGTGTACTTCGATATCTCGCTGGAACACTTGATTATGAAATAGTGTACAAGCGTGCGCAATCGACACAGCATCCAAAGATTGTAATCCAAGGTTACTGTGATAGTGACTGGGCTTCAGATGCTGCAGATCGAAAAAGTTATGAAGGTTTCGTTGTTGTGCTTGCAGGTGGTGCAAAATCATGGTCGTCAAAGCGACAGCCGATCATAGTCTTGTCAACAGCCGAGGCTGAGTATGTGGCAGCATGCGAAGCTACAATGGAACGATTAAAAAGCTAAATATTGTAAGTGAATCATCATCAACTGTTCCTGTTGAGGTGCACATTTGGGATTGCCAGTCAGGTTACACGTGATGGCGACAAATCCAACTTACTCCCGTCGTACGAGACATATCGAGTTACGCTGGCACTTTGTTGTGAGCAGGTAAATTTAAAGAAGGTAATTCTGGAAAAGTTGCTGCGATCGGCAATCCTGCCGATTCATTTACGAAAGCACTCGACAAGAAGCGTCTTGCACGATTGTCCAAGTTGATGGACGTTCAGAAGGAAGATGTGCGAGATGGATATCTCGAGAGAGGCGTGTTAAAATAAGTTTAACAACAGTTGGAAGTCGCTGGCAGCTGGCAGTGGATGGCAAGGCATGTGAATGGCAGTTGGTTTGCTTCATGGTTGAAGGAGGTAGAGTCGTGTTGATGCAAAGTTCCAGGGTGTACTTACCATCTGGCAAGCTGTCGTATCTCGCGTCTTCCTGCAAGCGCGTGCGCAAATGCTGATAAAGTGAAGCATAACAGAAAGAAGTCCATCCATTCCAACAATAGTCGATATAGGCAAACGAAACGGATGCTGCATACGACTCCGGCAAAAGGATCTGATTTTGTTGGTGCAGAGACAACTTCGAGAATTTCCAGTCTTGCGTGGGTCGCCATCACGTTGTTGCATGTGTGCAACTCCATCGTGTGTCATGAGATACAGTTACATATAGAAGTCAAGTCGGTCTGCTTCCGCTGCACTTTGACTTTGTACACAAAACAGGCGGGGTTGACGTCTTGCTGCACAAAGCTCGCGAGTCTTCTTCTGCTGCACTCTACTGGCATTTCACCGAGTCTAGCTCGTCCATTTGTTAGTGCATCAGCATGCACTTCACTTATTACCGCTTCTCCTCGCAGCCGCATAAATACTGGACGCAGGACTGCCGTATAAGAACCAAACTGCCTGGTCGCAACACAGAGCCACTTTGCAACTTGCATTGTCCATCCTTCAGTCCTCAAGATCTAGCGGTGTTGTAAACCTAAATCGTTGATCAGGGTATTATCGATAATAACCCTGATCTACATACGTATTTACACCTCCAAAAATTTATAATTTAGCAATTTAGTTTCTACCAAAGAATAATCTCTCTCTCCCGAGGATAGAAAAAAAATCCTCGTTGGACAACAAGTTGAAGTACGTTCCATTTTAATTGGTCAATAGCTCCACGGAATCTAAGAATAGGGACCCGAACCCATTAGGTGTATTGTTCCAAGTAGTAAATACATTTCTGTACCACAAATGAACAAAATTGGCAGTAACTTTCGCGACAGTAGACGCAGTCAAAGTTCTGTACAGCTTATGGGTTTTATTGATGAATGTGTACGTGTAAATGTTGAAGAGACGTCTGAAGAGGGAGAATTACGTATTCGCGGCTATGAGACGTTACTAGGGACAAGTACCGCTGTTCTGTCCTGCATTCAAGTCCTTCGTCGAATTATCCGGGAATACGCCTATGGTCGAATGGGACGAGAACTGCAGCATTTGTCGCTTACAGTGGCGTCCTTTGAGCGGGTTTTGTACACGTTTATTAAGGAGGAGATTGTCATAGCCTCAAAACACTATGCAAGTCAGCCGCCCGTGGACTTTCGGACCAAAACCGCTCTTAAAGATATTATTCCATTGATACCTAGAGATGAGAGATATACTATTCTATTAGGTGGAGTAGCATCTCTCTTGCGACACGCTACCAAGTCGTTGGAGGAAACACGCCAAGTACTTGAGGAGCTGCAGTCCGGATATAATCCGGATCGAGAGAATCAGTGGTCTAGGACGTCCGTGGTTCTGTTTGTGACCTTCATGTTCCTCTACAAAAGGTTTCGAATCCGTACATCGCTCAAACAGTTTTTAATGCAAGTTTTGCCAACCAGACATATGATTAAGTGGGGAGCTCTATTACTGATCGCAACAGACTATTGGAACCGAGCCATGTATCGGTTTTCCAACTTGCGACGGATCAAGGTCCACCATGCACGAGTGTTAATGGCGCTGAGGCTATTTTTATTGTGTCAGCATGTGCTGCAGCGTGCTCGTCCGATCAGCAATGCTTCCGACCACCGACTACTGATTGATAACCCGATGGAGGCAGATATCGACGACGATCTGAAAAACGCTACGACACTATTGGTTGAGAGAGTTCCACTGCCTGCTGAATACTACGATCGGTCTTCGGAGCCGTGGGGTTTCACAGCTTTTAAGATTGGCACGAATGTCTTGACTGCGTCGAGCGCTTTTGCGCACTCGATATTGGGTCATCATAAACTGCTGCTCAAATTTCTGGGTCCAAGTTTGCTTGTGATGGCTATTCCGTACTACGCGATCCGCAACCCCAAAGCAGCACGCTACACGACGCGTACACTCATCGATCACCCGAACGTGGATGTCATTCGAATGGGGTGGCAAGTATTCGGCGAGTCTCGACTAGTGCGGCTCATAACTAGCTTTCAGTGCCCCAAGATTTCTGTGTTCGAGAATCAATTTCTGGCAGTAGACGGATCTGCACTCAACAAGATGCGCAAGGACATTTCTGATATCAGTGTATACATATTCAGCGCGCGGCCGATGGATTCCGTCAAGGCTGGGACGTGGACAAATGCTTGTACCGCATTGACGACGCGAATGATCGCTTGTGGCTTACCGTCGACGCGTCCTGTTCTTCTCTACATCCACGGTGGTGGCTTTTTCGGACGGTTTATTGCAAAGGACTTTTATAACTTGACCAATTGGGCCTGTGTGCTAGGTGCAGCCATCGTCTATGTCGGTAAGGTTTACTTTTCTTTCTTTTAGCTGGTTAGCCTGTCGTCTAACTGTTATTGATTTTATGACATACACGTTGTGAAGATTACGGCCTCGCACCTGAGACCCAGTACCCACACTCAATGAATCAATGCTACACTGTGTACAAATGGGTGCTTAATGGCGGATTAGGTTTTCGACCAGGCAAGATCGCGCTGTTTGGGGAAAGTGCTGGTGCGTCTTTGAGATGATAGGTGGCTATACGCTGCGCAAACATTATTCGTAATCTGACAATCATTTTGGACTCTTCTTGCAGGCGCAAATATGGGGGCTGCGCTTTGCATTCGATGCATTCAAGACAGCGTCGATTTGCCGAGCGGAAACGTGTTCATGTTCCCGGCTCTCAATTTGCATTTGTCTCCGTCACCGTCGCGATTCATCCACCAAAATGACCCGGTGCTACCGCGTGGCATCCTCGAACTGGCACTTACGTCCTACTACCCTTCACACGGTCACTCGAACCAGTACAAGCTCAATATTCACGATCCGTGCGTGTCTCCTGGCTTGGCTGAAGATTATCTATTAGAAAAATTCCCTCCGACGTCGCTTGTGGTTGGCGACCTCGACCCGTTATTGGACGATAGCGTCGACTTTTACACGCGACTCTCGTTTTTGAAAGTGCCGTCAAGTTTGAAAATTTACTCAGGGCTTTCACACGGCTTCCTCATCTACGGCAATATGGTTCCGGAAGCACAAAAGGCAATCGACGAGACGTGTGAGCGTGTGCAAAACTACATCCGATTGCGCTGAAAACATTATACTTGTCCAAGCTGACATGCATCCGCCTGAGCGGAAGTTCAAACTGCGAAAGTAGTAAAAGTACATTGTATGTTATCGACAAAGCTGTCGAAGGGATGTGCTGATTTACAGGCCAATATGTAACAGGGTATTTAGTTACACGTAAACATTAAGTATTATACTTATTTTAACCTGTCGCTTGGGTCCGATACACAATCGTGATCCACCCTCGAGAATGTTTATCCATTCATGGATTCACATGGGAGGGATGACGCTAGTTGAAGCTAGTTGAAGCTAGGCATCGCGACGCCTCAAAAGGACGTCATTAGCAAGCATATATCTACATTTAAGCTCATGCGTCAGGATACGCTTCTAAAGAGTCGCGTATCCGATCTATATACATATATAGCCAATCAGTAGTTAAGTTATATTTTAATTATAATTCATTAAATATAGCTCAGTCTTGAATTTACTTCACACGGTCTACTGCGCAGAGAAGCTGAGTAAGCTGCTACGTGACGTAAGTAGTACACTTGTGAGTTGCTCGTTGCACAATTCGCTTAAAGCGACCGGCAACAGTTCGTAATGCGCTTAAAGCGCCGACCAACGCAGCCACCACCGCATGCGGAGGGAGGACGGTTAAACCGCGTCGTCGCGCTGCTCGAAGTTATGCTCGCGTAGTACGTGGCAGCTTCTTTACGAAGTGCCCGTCTACACTTGGTAGCACTGTAGTCCTTCCCACGACCCGTCTCTCTGAGCGTGTGTGTGGATAAGAATGTCCCTCAACGTGGATTACCTCTCCCAACATCATAGAGAGGTGGCAGAGCACTTGGTGCGGGGACTTGGCGAACAAGCCCTGGCCAATCTCTTAAATTGTCCTCCTAAGCAACATGTTGCTCAATTGGAGCATTTCGAGGCGTTTGTCCTCGGACAGCGTAGAAATTTGTCCGAGGCAAACAGCCAAGCTACGGCTGAGTCCATCAGTAAGACTCAGGATCAGCTTAGGCTTGAGCAGGCACGGAATGAGGCGCTCAACAGGACTGTTGAGACGATCTCTGCCCGGCCTGCTCAACCGAGGCCCATTCGGATGGACCCTCCGAAGTTCGATGGAACTAGCCCTCACACGATTGTTCACTGGCTATTAGCAGTGGAGCAATGTGGAGTGGCGCAGCTCATCGAAGACGACACCAGAATGGTGTCGTATGCCATGTCCAGCTTGCGTGGCAAAGCTTCAGAGTGGGTATACTCTGCGCTGATGGCTAATGCGGATGCATTTCCATCATGGGCGATCTTTAAGGCAAAGATTCGCGCCATGTATCAGCCGCCTAACAACGAAGTGTAGCTTATGGCGCGCTTCTTTGGAGCACGACAGGCGAAACGCTCTCTGCAAGAGTTTGTGCAGGAGATGCGTTCGCTGTCGGCGTCCATCAATGGGGAACCGATACCAGAGCGTATCAAGGTAGCCACGTTCATGAATGGACTTAGGCATGGCCCATCGCGTCAGGACCTTTTCAGAAAGGTGCCAGCGACGATGGAAGAGGCAATTGACATTGCCTTAGCAGAGGAGCAATCCTACAACAGCGCCTCGGCGACAGCCTATTACAGGCCGTCGACCGAGAAGTCGGAAGCCAGTAAGGCAATGCAAAAGTGGTCTGCTACAAGTGGAGCAAGCGCGGTCAAATGATGGCTCGCTGCTATACCAAAATTACTGATGGTGCTAAGACAGCCAGCAAGAAGTCTCCCAACCTGAAAGGTGGTTCGAAAAACCAGCGTGAACGATGCACGGGCTCAGCACCTGCCCAAGATGGGTCGGGCAATGCGGGAGCGCAGTAGGGGCGGGATGCCCTACTGTCGCGGAGTCTGAAGTTATCCCTAAGTTTTTTATAGTGATCGACTCAAATGGGTAGCATAGTCCCTGAGGTTCCGAAAGGTCGGACCTCAACCCTTTTGGTCTATAGCGCTCGAGTACGAGGCTATAACCAAGTGATGACCCTTCTTGTTGATTTGAGTGCATCACAGAATTTTGTAAAACTCGCGGCTCTGAAAAAGAGTCCGGTGAGTTATGAGTTGCTTTGCAAGCGAGAAGAGGCGATCGTTCGTTTAGCGAACGGGCAGCTCTTTAAATCGGAGAGAGCTCAAGTTGAACTCGCCTTCAGCTATATTGACCTAGCACAGTGAATTTCTCTTGTAAAGAGAAGCTCACAGTGCTAGGTATGGAAAGTCCGTATGACCTCATCCTAGGTGCATTGGTTGGCTAAATACCAACCATGGATAGGCTGGCGTACCCGCACAATCGAAAGGGCTACGCACGACACCGAAAAGGATGTGCTCCTGCGAAAGGCTTATGCCATTGATGCTGTGTCCAACACAGTCGAGGGTGCGATGACGGTATGTCAATCGACACCAGGAACTACCCAGCTCGTTGAGCCTGGAGTAGTTGGAAGTGCACTGGCGGAAATCCAGGTGACACATATTCCTACCCAGGTCGAAAAGATTGGTGTCGTGAATGGGACGATGACAAGTAGTCATGCGTCCAATAGTCCTGCACAGAGCCGAGAGCCTGTGGTAGTTGATGGTGGGCTGACAGGAAGTAAAGCGTGAAAAGAGCCGGCACAGAGCCATGAGCCTGGTGCGGTTGAAAGGGGTGCGTTAGCTGAGATAGCAACGACACCTTCTTCCAGGTCAAAGGTCGTGGTGACTCGATGAACGAGCACCAGACGTATTAAGACGATCAAGGGCACGTCGAAACGAGTGACCCTTGGATCAGTCTCGTTCCAAGAGGGCGGACCTACGAACGAGTTGTTCTAGGCCGTCGAAGACAAGATGCCGGGTTCATCCTCAGTTGAGGTGCTCCAACTTGTCTTGGCATCTGCCGAGGAGATAGTAAAAATCTCGGAGAGTGACGTGGGATCGTTTCCTGTCCGAACCAAAGGAAGGAAAGATCCATGAGATAGTCGCACCAGTTCCAGAGAAGAACGTGGCGGACTGTTGCTCATCGTCCACAATAAGCGAGAGCGTCTTTGACCCAAAACCGACAAGAAGAAACAGTTTGCTGCTCAAGGCTGGGATGCCTTGAAGTAAAGCCCGTTTTATATGATATTATGTGACGTTTTCCCAGCAGAAATGCCGAGCCGCCTATCGGTCGATAGGGGCATCAGGCACGAGATTGACTTGGAGCCTGACACCAAGTATTGTGTGACCAGGCAATGGCCGTTGCCGAAAGAACAAGTCGATTACATGGATGAGTTCTTCGACAAGCGATCAAAGGCGGGACATGTACGTGAGAGAAAGTTGACTCACAGCATCTCGACCTTCTTAGTTCGTAAAACAACAGGCTGATGGCGCGTGTTTCATGCTTATAATAAGCTGAACACGGCCACCATTCTGGAGCAGACGCCGATCCCGCGGAAAGATGTCTTGTTGAACTCCATGGGAAAGTCAACTATCTTTTCCGCGTTGGATCTGAAGGATAGTACTATCAAACTCTCATGATAGATACTGATGTAGCAAAACGGCAGTAATCAACCCAAGCGGTATGCTGTGGGAGTGGCTTGTGATGCCACAAGGACTGAAAAATGCTTTAGCGACATTCAACCGAGTGGTGGCTCACGTGATGCGTCAGCGCCGTGCCTACTCGCCCCATTAATTTGATGCTGTATTCGTGCATAGTAGGGCGGAGGACGGTCTGAGCGCAATGGAGTCGCACAAGCGCCATTTAGACGCTGTGTTGCACACTCTGGGTGACGTTCAATTATACGTTGACTTGCAAAAGTGCGTAATAGGGGTCCCCGAGATACCGGTACTGGGCTGCATCGTAGGGTCACATGGTGTACGAGCAGACACAGAAAAGGTAAAGGCTATCAAGGAATGGTCAGTACCACGACACGTGAAGTATCGGCGCGGATTCCTTGAGTTCGCTAATTACTTGCATAAAGTAAAGCAAGAAGTGTGCGGAGCGAACGAAGCCATTGTCTGACCTTCAAAAAAGGGATGCAGAATGGACTTGGTCTAAGGATCAAGAAGATGCGTTCACACCAGTGAAGCAACCTCTTGTTGAGGCACCGGTCGTGGCATTGCCAGACGCGGATAAGCCTTTTAGCGTCGTTTGCGATGCAAGCAATTTTGCAATCGGCAGCGCGCTCATGCAGAAGGACGACAGCGGCCTTGACCGTGTCATTACGTATCAGTCTTGGCTTTTGAAATCCGCAGAGCTGAATTACCCTGTGCAGGACAAGGAGATACTTTCAATTAAGTATGCCCTTGGGTAAAGTTTCAAGTGCACCTCGTAGGCACCGAACCTTTTGTGGTTTATACGGATCACGCATCACTGCGGACCGCTATAAATGCACCGCGCCTCTTGCCGAGAATGGCGAGATGGCTAACATTCTTCTCTGAACTTAATTTCAAAGCTAAATATATGCCGGCTAAGTCGAATGTCTTGGCTGACGCGTTATCGCGCAGACCAGACTTTGAGGCAAGACACCAGGAAAGTGTGTCTCGTGCGAAAGCACAAGTTGAGTCGTCAACATTGGCAGCCATGAAGGCCTACCATGTGACGACTTCAATGACCTCCGATGTCAAAGAGTGTTACAGTCAGGACGAACATTGTCGCCTGCTGTCGTATCTTTTAGTGGGCGAAAGGTTGCACTTCCGTCACATTTGGAAGCGAAGTTATATCGCTTTAGTAACCGTGATGGCCTATTATGGCATAAGCTGTCACCTTGTGATCCCTTAAGACTCTATGTCCCTAATGGCACAGATCTCAAGCTGATGATACTTCACGAGTGCCACGATGCGCCATCTAGTGGGCATCTGGGTCGTGAAAAGACATTCTTACGAGTGTCAGGGAAATTTTGGTGGTCCCTCCTATACCAGTGGGTGGCCAACTATATTCGCTCTTGCGAAGAGTGTCAGCGCATAAAGCCTTCACCTTCTCGCAATGCGCCACTGAAGCCACTGCCGATTCCAACTGAATGTTGGAAGTCGGTCAGTTTGGAATTTATGTTTGGATTACTGACTGAGCATATAGGCAGGACGGGGCTCGTCGTGTTTGTAGACAGACTGAGCAAGATGGTGTAATTGGCACCATGTAGCACCAAGATCTCAGGAAAAAAGTCTGCTCTCTTGTTTCTGGGTCACGTGTACCGACTACCAGAAATGCCTGAATCTATAGTATTGGATCGGGATTCGCGCTTTACGTCGGGTCTTTGGCGACATGTGTTTGAGCTGCTGGGTATTAAGCTCCACATGTCAACCGCTGATCATCCCCAGACCGATGGCCATACAGAACGTGCCAATCGAGTCGTAGCGGATGTGTTGCGTACAGTAGCGACTCCCAAAGAATGGAGCAAGCAATTGCCATTCGTGGAGCTCGGTTTTAATAACAGTGTTCACGCCAGTACGGGTGAAACACTGTTTTACATTAACGGACTGCGTCATCCTCGAACGCCAGTCTCGTTTGTACGCAGCCCGAGTCTTAGTGGGGGAGGGCCCCTCACTTCGCTCGGTGCGAATGCCAAAGAGAGCCAAGGTTGCCCTAGTGACACTGCTAATTTAGCAGTGGTCACGGCACCTATAGGTGTCACAGAGGAGGCACGGTAAGAAATGCCAGTGCTCCTTGACGATGACACTATAGTGTATCAACAGCGTCGACCCATGACCAACCTCTTGGAGGTGTCATAGGCGAGCTGGATGCTACAAGCGTTATCGAATCTCAGCGCTTCGTGGATGAGCGATTTGCCATCACACGTAAAGTCCGTGACGCGATGTTAAGCGCATGGGAGAAGCAAAAACAATATGCAGGCCAGCATGGTCGCAAAAACAATGAACACTTTAGTGTGGGGGACAAAGTCTATTAATACTGCTACCCTACCTAAACATGCAATCTCTGTACTACCTGGTGGTACTGCAAAGCTATTGCCCCGATTCATTGGGCCCTTTACAGTGGTTGAAGAAGTTGGAGACCTAAATTATAGGCTCACTCTCCCACCGTATATAACGACGCACCCCGTATTCTGCGTGGGTCGTCTGAAACAATATGCTGATCCAGCAGAGATCACATATCCACATCGGGCTAACGAGACCGATGGTGACGTCGACTGTGAGGCGAGCGTCGTTGCCTATCATGCGACGGGGAAGCCGAGAGGCTCCCCGTATACTAGCGAGGCGATAGAGAACTCGGTGATCGAAGAGGACTACGCTCTTGATGCGGATCTCTCATCGCCAGTCGCTCCAAAATGACCAAACGAAGTTTCAGGCGGTCATACCCCTGACATCCTTCGTCCTCACATCGCGCAGATCCGAGGTCAGTCGCGAGACTTGACTCTCAAGATCTGTCACCTGCCTCTAGCGCAGCAGACTCAGCCTGCGACTGAACAGCAGCAGGATAGGCAGCCGCGATTAGGTGGGCGTAATCGCCACTCCTATCGGGCGCCACCTATGTTGGGTGGACGCGGGTGGAAACACATTCTTCCTTGCTGGAAGTTAGTTGGCCCACCGCCATGTGAAGCAAAAGCTTCACATCCTTGTCCAATGGAAGGGATACCCGAAGCGTTCTGACTCTTGGGGACCGGTTGACGCGTTGGATGTCGACGTGAATAGGCTGGTAGATGCTTACTAGCAGAAGCACCAGCTGGCGTTCGCTCTGCTAGATCCTGATGGACTAGCAGGGGAAGCGTAGCGAGAAGGAGTTGGGGTATGTTATCACCCAATATCTTTCTCGCACGTGTCATAGCGAAGCTGATTCGCTGCGACCGCCGTTGCACTGCATCTACATGCGGTGTAACGGAGCAGGAACTCTGCCTCGCATTCGTCGGTTGTATCATGTGGACGCAACACAACGGGGGTAGGGAAATCACGATCTCGTGCTTTTACCTGCCTTTTCCACGATAAAAAGACGCTAAAGGGTTATTGGCGTCAATATTGGTACGCTCTAAGAGCGCCGCACTATTCCCACTCGAGTGTAACCACTTGGATGGCGGTGGCATTGGTGGCAAGCCGCCGCTCACGTAGCCGTCCTCGCGACGGCGTGCAGACGAGGCCGACGGTGAAGTCGAAGGAGGAGCTTTTAGATCACCCTCGTCTAATTCTGACCTCCATTATTATTGATTGTCAAGACGTCAGACGTAGGGTTAAACAAAGGCGGACGATTTAGAATCTCCGACCTGCTGCTGAGCCGCAGCTGTTTCTTTTGAAACAACGCGCTCACTATTGGTCGCTTCACTCGTAGGCGCAGACGACGAAGCATGTCCCTCACTGTCAGGAAGCATGGAAGCTTTCTGAAGGTCGGGTGCCTCAAATGCTAGGGACATATGTACCATCAAATGCAAAGTGCGCATCACCACTTGGGGTGATGGCAATGGCGTGCTCTCATTGTAGTCAACAATGCGAGACAGGTCATCATCCGCACATTAGTGGGATGGATTAGTGTTCTATGTTGAAAAGCTGACAATAGATGTTGTCGTTGTCACAGAGACACTTAGCGACGGCTGCGAGTTAGCTCGGCGCGTGCGCTTTGTGCTGGTCGCATGGGCGACTTTGCAGGCGACCATCAGCTTTACCACGTTTCGGTGGCATCTCAAATTTGCGATGTTTTACAAAATGTAAAAAATGTTCTAAAGAGGGGGATGGTATAACGGGCCAATTGGTACACGAGTCCGTTAAGTATACGTTACTTAACAGGAAGGTCTAAAAGGGTACGAGGTATTCAAGGCCTGCCACTTGGGTGACGCACATCAATGTATCCCATCCCCGTGAATGTACTATTCATGGATGATTTACATTCAACGGGGATGACGCCCAGTGTGGTCATGGTGACGTTTTCAGACGGACGTCATCAGCGAGCTTAAATAAATTTAAGCTCCACGTCGGGATGCGCTTCTGAAGAGACGTGTATTCGATCTTTAAATTTAATAAATCAGTAGTTAAATTTATATTTAATTAATTCCTATTGAATATAAGTCAGCCTGAAGATACTATATATCACTCAATACCAACGAGAAGCTGATTGAGCTTGTGCGTGTAGGAAGTAAGCGCTTACTTAAAAGTTCGTTGTGTGGTGGAGTGAATTCTCAAACGACGTGAAAAAACCACAAACACACACAGCGCCGGACTGCCGACTTGCTGAGGGGGTACCCCGATACCGTGTCGCGTCAACCTTGGGTCTCACCTTGTGTACCCGTCGGCTTGGCTAATTTTGCTCCTCGTAAGACGCAGAAGACTTAAAGACTTGGTCCTTGTATGGAGGGACTTGGGGGCCACGAGTGGATATGCTTCACTAGGACCCGGGATTTCTTGGGCTCGATCGACTAGGTCGAGAGCAATGCACCTGGTACTACGTACCCCTTCGGTGGCTAACGGCTTCATGGTCTTCGACCCCTTTTCTTGATCCCCGTAGGGAAACCGCTTCCTATAGCGGGTCGTAGAATGGGTACGAACGCACAGGCCAAAATACTTCCTGGGGTTCGTTCGAGCTTGAATCTTACCACACGACTGCCTTCAACGGGGGGGGGGGGGCAAAATAAATCCCTTCTCCGGAACAGGTGAGTAGATCGAAACAAGTTCGCACTGGAGTCTTGACACTTACTTGGCACCTCAGGCCAACTATCCTGAGGTTCAGCTTGCGTTGCTTAAGCCGTCACCTCACCTGACGTCGGTGGGCCAAAGGGTATCCCGCCCGAAATAGGTGAGGTGACGGAGAAGAGCTTGGAGAGGGGCGCTTAGAGCTGCCACGTGTAATGCAAATTCGAGTGTGTTTATTTACCTTATACTTCGTATGCTTTTCTTGCCTAACCTTAACCCTTTGATCTGGATAGTGCCACGTGTCGACTCTTGGAGGAAGAATTGGCTCCTTGGTATCTGTACTTTCTGTAATCTTCGATATTTCGTGTACCGATTCTGAACCCTCGGACATTGGGCCCTGGACCCCGGTACCCTGGGCCCCGATTTTTCTGGCACTTCACCACAGTTGCGCGGTTCGCTTCGGCGACGGCAACCGTTGGTGCGACCGCTTAAGCGGTCGAAAAAGCCCACACTAGTACTCACGGAGGTAAGACGATTTATTTGCTGCTTTGCGTGCTTGAAGGTGTGTGCTAGTAGCACATGGCAGTTTCTTTGAAGTGCCCGTCCACGATATGGGTTAATCTATATAGCTCAAAATGAGAACAGATTCTATTTATGCATTAAATTGTAGTCATAAACATACCGTATGTAGCCTACACTAGATTTATTACTTCATTAAAAATCATAATGGTATTATAATATGCAGCCTTTTTTATGGGATGCCTTGTCTTCAAACATCCGTGTATGATGTAATTAAAACGGCGAAATCGGTTATCAGCCATAACCGATATGATACCGTATTACCGATACGGCTCCACTTCATACCTCCTTTATAGGAAAATACAATAGAGAAAATAATATGTACAGAAAGTCGCTATGCAACAAACCCAGATTTTTTTGCTTGCTGAGTTTGCCCTCGAGCAACAAAGAATCATCAAGGGTGACTTTGCTCTTTGCGGAACTCTCAAAAGGCGGTACATTATATGAATTCCGTTCTAGCGTTAAATGCCGTTGCCCAAAACTCAAGGACTATACTTATTATAAAGAAAGATTTTGGCGTCAGATGCTTGACTAATCTTACAACCTCAGCAAAACTTGTAATATAAGCATGAGTACAAGATTAAAATGCTGTATTCTCGTATGAGGTTATCTACTAGCTTATAACACCCTCAAAAAGGGTATGCTTTTCTCAGAGAGGTCCAAAAGTTGTCATCGTTGATGGGCATTTCCCCCCGTTACCCCAATCCATTAGATTTAAGGCACACCGAGCCTCCTCCGTAAGCTGATGCCACAAGATCAGGTCCTGAAAGCCACCTACTTCGTCAATAAATTCGAGTCCGTACTCGCCAGAATAGCGATCGTTTGACAGGTGCCCAACATACCTGACTTTTACAGCCGTGCCATCCACTTTGAAACGTTCTGGATCGCGGTGGTTCTCGAATGTTTTTGAAAACGACAGCGACACACCCAAGATCTTCGGGTCTTTGTTAGCAGGGTTGTTAAGCCACAAGATACAAGTCTGCCAGCCGTAACGGTGATATAAATCATTACGATCATTCGAGAACGGATCACCTTTCTTAGGTAGTTGCTCCTTTAGAAAAAAAATATGAGTACGCAATAGCATATTTGCCATTGTACCAAGCTGCACGCCCGTAAACTTGAGACCCATAGCGATTTCCCTTGCAGTGACCATCAGAGGGCCCGATAGGATTAAGTCCACCGCTGACATAACCTTCTTGGCTTACTGCAGGGTATGCGTGACATAGATGCGGACTAATTGTAAGCCTCGGTTTGAATTTGACGGCAGCCTTTTCAAAGATTGTCTTGGCGGGAGGCTGGTGAAACGGTCGTATGTCGTCGTGATTGATCTCCCTGAACCTCGGGCACGCTTTTAACGGCGCATCGATATAACCAGCTTTCTTGGCCGTTACATGGTCTACGACCGTAGTAATGCCGGCTAAAGCGATACACAGGAAGCCAGCGATCTTCATGGTGGGAGATTTTCACTTGTTGACTCTTGTTCAGGATGAAAAAAGAATAATGAGATGGTGGGAGGCGATGTCGATAAGACAAGTCGATAGATGAAGTATGTGCATCACCAAAGTTGTTTTATTATAGTTTATTCAAGAACCTTTACAACCAGATTTCGTTCTTCATACAAAGAACAAGTCCAGTCGTAAAAAGGTCGTGCAGTAACAATTAACAAATGGTCGAGCTTTCACATCGCAATTCGTAATCTTATCATGCGCATGGCCGGACTTGAGATCGTAACTTTGTACAGAGCTCGAAAATCCTTCGAAAAGCTCGTGGGTGACCACATGGATGCGAAAGATGCGAAAAAAACAAGCCACATATGGATGAAATGAGACAAAAACAAACATGATGATGTATATGGATAGGGCTGCTGCCGTCATTAGCTGCCTGTAAGAATAAGGAGATTTACCTACTAATTCATATATTCCGTACAAGTCGTCTCCATCCAGTCTATCATCCAAAGATAGAATTGGAAGTGTCGGTTATATTACGGATTTTTCGGCGGTTACCGCCTCTCAGCTACCGCTCTTTTTAACATGACCTTTACTATAATTGCATTAGTAAATGTTACTGCTCGCTCATAGATTTGTCAGACGAGCAAGCTTTATACCATCGCCTTAGTATTTGGAGTCGAACTGACGTCTGTAAATAGAATGGTACACGAAACAAGTGGTCTGCAGCCCAAAAAATTAGCTAGATGGTGAAGGTCGAGTCAAATTGTTCACGGACAGCTCATTACTTTGGAAGAAAGTAATGCGTTGTCCGACAACAATGCGACGATGTCCAGATTATGTCAGGAAAAGGTGGCAACGTCACACAAAGAAAATTCGGACTTAAAGCTCATTGTTTTTACTTTGTTTGGAATCGTACGTTGCTTTCGGCTCACTTAAAAAGCCGATCGTGGCAGAAATTGCGTGGACACTTAAGACGACGTCGCTTGTCGACTGGGGGGCGTGGCCTGGGTTTGTCTACCTGGCTTTGTACTCGTTTTTGCCTCGCAAGGCGCTCTGCTTTTTCTTTAACGCGATCCCAATATTGAATATGGTGTCGGCTGTGGTACGTCATTTCAAGATGAGATCTTACCTTATCATCATCATAATCTGCTTTACATGTGAAAATTATAATTATGTCTCCTATACGTAGGGATTTGCAAAGCTGTATCACAATAAAAGCAAGTAACCTGATTTTTTTGCGTGTAGACACGTTTACCATTTGTTGGAGCCATTGGCTGTCTCTTGATAACAATTCTACATGTAGGGACATTGTTCATGCTCACACCTATTCGATCCTACTACCCTGGTAAGTTTTTTCTGCCTTTTTTCTAGTGCGTTTGCTCTTACTGATATATATTTCTTAAAGGTGGTGAGGCATTCGTGCGCTTGCACCAAGTCGCCGTAAATGAGCGAGGATTACATCGCAGCGTGCATATTGATGTTCCAGCCGCTATGACAGGTGTCTCGCGGTTTGGAGAAGAGTTTCCCGCGTGAAGGTTTGTAACTTATACCACATTCGTAGTCATTAAAAAACATGGCAGCTGACCTGCGGTGCGTTTGTAGGTAGTCTATGGACGAATCGTTGACTACGGTGGAGAAGGTAATAAAGTTGAACTATTTGCTCACAGCCAAGGACTCAGCACTACTGGAAAAGGAGTTTCAGCACATTGCCGATTTTTATTCCTTTGCTGGTGTGGAAATTGTTGACTACCGCATTACTTTTAAGACAAAGAAGGTGGTCTTCCTCATGCGGAATGGAAACAGTACTCCCGGCGAAATTTAAAGCTACCCTCGCTTTCGTGTATACGAACGAACTCGCCACGCGGAGGACAAAATAATTCAGCATGCGTTGACGCATTATCAAATTACTGGCTGACGGCCTCACTGCATCACACATTTAATGTCAAATGCATACAATGTACTGCTGAGGCAGTGACTTACTCCACCGCTTCCTGCATCAGCTTTTACTATGGCGCTTTCAAACGAGTAAGAGTAACGTATTCTGCAAAAAGCATAGAAATCGCAACAAATTTTTGGCAATTTCCTTATCTCGGGCTGGGCTTGTGCCATGACGGAATGCCGAGTCACAACTACTGAATTCCTCCACATAAGGCTCAGAGCCTCGGTAACGGAGCTACAGCTAACACCGGGAAATTGGTGCATTTCTAGCAAATGAAGATCGTTGGAAAGCGTTTTTGATTTTAGCTGCCAGTGCTTCGGTCTCCATAAAATGCAAAAGTGAAAAAACGAAGCCTTGTTGACCCAACTCATTTCGGATTTAACCCCCTGCATTATTGCCAGATTGTAGCGGAGCTGCACAGCTCTTTAGCCAGAGGAAGACTTTAGGCTGGAAGCCTCTTAGTTCTAGAGAACTAAATAGAGTTAAGGCTAAAAGCCACTTAGTTCTAAGGAACTAATTAAACGACTTAAAGTCACCCTGTTCCAAGGAATGAGGAGAGAGACTTTAGTCAGTCAAGCAATAAGCTTAAGGTTCAGAGAACCAACGCACAGAGTGCAAGAACAAGCTAGAAGCTTAAAGGTTTAGGGAACCAACGCACGAAGTGCACAAGAGAACAAGCCAGAACGACTTGTGGTCTTAAACGCAAAAGGAGAAATGATTATATTTACGCTTTAAGATTTTATGAATAGTCCTACTCTAAGTACACTACACTAGATTAATTACTATAATAGTAATTATTAGATGCACAGTTTGCTATTAGACGGTGTATCGTCCAGACATCCGTATATGATGTACTTAATACAGCGTTAGTGATTTATCGAATCCCAATCGATAAGATACGGTATTACCGAATACCATATCTTAACGCTCATACTTAATACCTCTCTAAAGAGAAATATAATAATGCATTTTATGCAATACAAAAGGAGAGTTTAACCGTAAACTCTCGGAAAGACGCTACAACCGTCGTGTAACCCCGTTACACCCTCCTCCACCAGACTGACATTCCCATAGAATGTCACTCGTCATTTATCCTCGTAGAGGTAGTGCTTTAGCGAACGCTTTAAACCTCACGGTTTGTTCACGGCACATAGCATGACGCCTCCTGGCAATGAGTCAATGACTCTTCGGGACCTCATTGAAGACAACCTTGACGAAGCGGTTGTTTACGAAAGTGACACCGTCTTTGTGGGACCCGATGGGTCCCCTCTAGCCACCCTCACGGGTGAAGATGACACTCTTCATGCACCGACTCCGTTCCCGGAGCGTGGTGCTGCAGATGCGCTAACAGCGTTACGTGACCCGCCTGACGTGTCATCAACGGTAACGGTTACCAACCCACTCGACGAGCAGCAACAGCAGACTATCGACCAAGAGGAAGGCGCCAAGCGCCGGACGAAGAATATGGCGAGACTTCAGGACCACCGACAGTACCGGTTCAAGCCACCTACGGTGCAAGAGCGCCTAAAGGAAGCATCTGGGCATTCCCTTTCTGGCTGGACCATTGGGCCTGAGGCCATTTTGCCTGAGGATGTTGCCACGCGCACGGCACTTCGACAACGATATCTGGAGCCCCACATTACTACCCAAAGCCAATACTTGGCACGCCTTAACAGGCAAGTGCGCGGTGCGCCAGTTCCTCCCATGAAGGATGTTCCCATCCTTCTGTTCGCGGGGGAAACCGAGGACGAAGAAGACACGGCTTTCAGCCGCTGGGCGCATTATGCGCGACGTTTAAGCAGCATGTGGGCCCTACGGGCAAGTGCCGATGTGGCAGATGTTCGACTCGAGCGAAAGATGCGTTACGATTACGCTAAATTGAAGGCCCGAGGAAAATTGAAATCCCAACGAACGCATTATGCGTCTGCTACCCAGCATCCCAATGTATCGGATACACCTGTAGCCGCGAGTCCACGACAGGCCGAGGCCGTTAACTCGCCTATCCCCACCACTACTGGTGAGAAGCGTCACCGCCAACAGGCTGACCCTGCGCACGACGCTCAAAAACGTCCACGGCGTATGGGCAGTCCTGCCGAAGGGGAATCTCAAACTCCCAGGAGTTCCACGACTCGGGATAACCCTGCCACTTTACCAGATACTGGTTTTGACCATGGCAGCGACGCTTCTGCATTAGACGCTCCACATGGAACTGAAGGTTCCCCTGCGCATCGAGCAAAGCCGGAGGCGGCCGGTGTATCGGCACAAGCTCATGCCGAGCTTGTTCAAGAGGTGCGGTCCCTACGTGAGGAGAGGCAGACGATGAACTCCCGGCTGGAGTCCCTGGAAGCGAGTCGGACCCGAATGCAGGGTCAGCTTGACCTGTTGGTGCAGATGCTTCGTCCCGCGACAATGCCAATGGGCTCGGCGCGAGTGCCTTAATATTTACTTGGAACGGATCCCGATATGGTTTCAGCATGCCAACATAGAACACAGGATGTGTACGCAATTTGCGCGGCAAGTTAAGCGTATACGCTGTGCCTTTCTTGGCAATGACCGTAAAGGGTCCGATAAATCGTGGGCGCAACTTCGTCTTAAAGACAGCGGATACTACATTGGTAGGTAGATTTTTAGCATTCAATAATACTTGGTCTCCGACCTCATAATCATTAATACAGCCTCTGCCTTTCGCATCTGCATATTCTTTTTGTTTATCTTGACTATCAGCCATTGCATCTTGCACATGTCGTAAGACATTTAGTCGCGTTGCGAGAAACGCATTTACCTGTTTCTTAACAGTATTAGGGCTGACATCAGCAAGCCGATCGGCAACCTCTCCCCCACCAAGCCCTGAACCACTTGGTGGTAGCGTTAACGGAACGCGTGGGTGTGTGAGACCATTCACATAGAACGGAGTGTAGCCGGTAGAGGCGTTCACGGAATTATTGAGTGCAAACTCAACTACAGGGAGCATAGAGCTCCAACGCTTAGGCGTTTCAGCACAAACGCTGCGTAGGATATCTTCAACAACACGATTTACGCGTTCGGTTTGACCATCGGTCTGCGGATGTCCAAACGTGTGCCCAGCACCTGGAAGACAGACTTCCAAAATCTACTCGTAAAACGAGGATCACGATCAGAAACAATTGCCACTGGCAAGCCATGTTGGCGAAACACCCGATCGATAAACAGCTCCGCTGTACCCACACCATCGATCGAGTCTGGCACAGCCGCTAAGTGAGCCATCTTGCTCAAGCGGTCAACAAAGACCACAATACCTGTATTGCCATGCGAATCTTTCGGTAGGCCAAATACAAAGTCCATACTTATGGACTCCCAGCACCCAGTGGGAACAGGCAAACTATCCAGCGGCGCTGCCGAATGGTGTGAAGGTTTCACCCGTTGAAACGTCTCACACGTACGCACATATATAATTTGGGCCACCAATAACGTTGGCATACTACCCCATAGGTCTTTTCACGACCCAAATGGCCAGCGATGGCGGTGTCATGTACCTCATAGAGGATACGATACTTCAGATCCTCGTCATGAGGAACCATAATACGCGGAGGATCCGCCACATCTGTACGATAGTACAACAGCCCCTCATCGATAGAATATCGATGGAGGCTCGCACGTAATCGTGCCGACAATTTAATGTCCGAGTCTTTAAACTCATCACTGCGAAGAGCATGTAGCAACGCTATACAGTGATCATCTTTAGCATACACCGATCAAATGAGATCAATGATAGAAGACGACAACGTCGTAACATGAGCAAGCTCATATTCAGGTCTCCGTGACATTGCATCAGCCAAAGCATTTTGCTTGCCCGGCTTATATTTCACCTCGAAATTATATTCGGCAAAGAATGACATCCATCTGGACATTCTCTGCGAGAGATGCGTCGACTGAGTCGCAGTGCGTAACGACGCATGATCGGTATAGATCACAAAAGGCTTCGAGCCCAGCAGATGAACTCTAAATTTGACCAGGGCATACTTCATCGCAAGTAGCTCTTTGTCATGAACTGGATCGTTCTTTTCTGCAGCTTACAGCTGGCGAGATTCAAAAGCGATCACACGCTCACGGCCTTCATCATCTGTTTGTAACAGAGCACTGCCAATGGCAAAATCCGACGCGTCACAAACTACGCTAAACGGTCGATCAGGGTTTGGCAAAGCCAAAATGGGAGCATGAAGAAGGCTAGCCTTCACCGCTTGACAAAGCATCCTCATGTTCGGCATGCCAACACCATTCTACATCTTTCTTAAGGAGATTGGATAATGGCCGAGCCATATCAGCGTAATTTTCGCTGTACTTGTGTAAGTAATTGGCAAGCCCAAGCCATTTACGCAAGTCCTTTTGGGACTGTGGAACAGGCCAATCGACTATGGCTTTGACTTTGGCGGGATCCGCTCGTAGGCCTCGCTTCCAATGAAGCACCCTAGAAAGGGAATTTCTTCGGCCTTGAAGATGCACTTAGATGCATTAGCATATAGTTTATTAGTGCGCATGCATTCGAGCACAGCTCGTAGATGAACAATATGGTTTTCAATATCTGACCGCCCATGTTCAGCTCGACTATGGACAAAAATGTCATCAAAGTACGTCTGGGCATAACTTCGATGGGGTCGAAACAATTGCGTCACCAACCGGTTAAACGTAGCCGGAGCATTAGATAGCCCCTGGGGCATCACTAACCACTCCCAGAGCATACCGCTCGGAGTACTAACAGCAGTAAGCGGAATATCACTAGCTCGCATGAGCAACTGGTAATAACCATCGACTAAGTCGAGCGCACTGTAGATGGTACAACCGACCATATTGTTCTGAAGAACATCCTTTCTAGGTATTGGCGTCTGAGCAGGTATAGTGGCTGCATT